GAAATTTTTGTTAAGGGAGGGGAGTACTTTAATGAAATAATGATTTAAGATCGGTGATGTGGGGGGGGGGGGAATAATTTTGGAAAGTATAAGAAGTGTTCCCATAAAGGTATGATAATTAATTGAAATGTGTGAAATGTCTAAAGATATAAATGATTGTTAATACCAATGATTAGGCGATGTTATAATAGTGAAACTATTCGTGAAATGACCTTTGGTGACATTTCTATGGCCCTGAAATTTTGCCCACGAAAAAGACTGCAGAAAAAGTCAGCTGGGGTAATTTATAGAAAGTGGCTGTGGTTTTGGAGAATATAGGATGATTATAAAGGTCATTTAGTCCAGCCTCATTGACTTGACCCAGGACATCCAACTACAGTACAGGTAGTCCTCAACTTACAACAGTTCATTGAGGGACTGTTCGAAGTTACAAGGGCACTGAAAAAAGTGAACTATAACATTTTTCACACTTATGACCATTGTAGCATCCCTATAATCACATGATTTACATTCAGATGCTTGAAAATTGACTCACATTTATAACGGTCGCAGTGTCCTAGAGTCATGTGATCTCCTTTTGCAACCTCACGACAAGCAAAGACAATGGGGAAACTAGGATCACCTAACAAATGTGTTACTAATTTAACAACTGCAGTGATTCACTTGACAAATGTGGTGAGTAAAGTTGTAAAACTCACTTAACAAATTTCCCACTTAACAATTTTGGGCTCAGTTGTGGACGTAAGTTGAGGACTACTTATATAGTATTCAGGATAGACAGTTACTCCTAGAAGGAATTGTAAGTCGCCCTTATGTATTTTCTTCTGCCATTTGGTTCTGCTTTGAACTTTTAACTGGGGCAATAAGATGGCTGCACTCATATAACAAGAGAATGTATAAAAGTTTGTGAAATTGCCATGTGGTGATTCATTTGCAAACAACCAAACTACATGTCTCGTTCGTGTGAATTGTGGGTCCAGGGTCACTCCTCAAAAGCTTCTCAGCACATTTTTAAATGGATGAGCTAGAATGAACTAGAATATCACACGGATTTATCTCTTATTTATTATTATTTATTTCAGTTTTTAGAATAGAAGAAAACTTTTAACAGGAACTAAATCTTAGCTACCTCAAAGTTACGAGGGACTCCACAAAAACTTCTGAGCCTTGCCAATCCAGATGTCTCCATGACTGGCCTTAGGGAGGCTATTACCTCAGCCCAGTACAGGAAAAAAAGTTGTTTGTGGAACTTTGGCACAATGCCAAAATCAACTCATCCTGTCTCACAGTGGAAACTCATAAGTCAGGGAGGAATTCTACCAACTGTATCAGATGTTGGTATGTCTTGGCTCACTGTCTGATCAGCACGTGGAATTCAGAGGTATACAGAGGCACTTTGGTCTAGTGGTTAATGTACCAGGCTAGAAAGCAGGAGAGGGTGAGTTCAAGTCCCGCCTTAGTCATGAAAGCCATCTGGGTGACTTTGGGCCAATCATTCTGAGCCCAATTCACCTCCCAGGGTTGTTGTTGTTGTGGGGAAATTAGGGGGAAAGTGAGTTGGTTATGTTCGCCTCCTTGAGCTATTTGTAAAGTAATAAAAGTGGGAAATACATTCATACATATACTTATATACATACATACATGCTGCCTATGGGCATGGAAGTTCCATTCTTACCAATTATGGCTCCTAAGAACAGTCCCTGAGGTATCAAATCTAATACTCATCTGTATAGCCCAGTGTTTCTCAACTTGGCAACTTTAAGCTGTGTGGACTTCAACTCCCAGAATTCCCCAGCCAGCTGGAGAATTCTAGGAGTTGAAATCCACACAGATTAATGTTATCAAGATTGACAAACACTGGAACTATTTTAAAAAAAAAGATTTTGTCTGAGACATTTATCAGCTCAATGTATATACCCAGCCATTTTAGCTTCTTTCAACAACATTTAAGCCTAGCAACAGATCGCACACATCTACCTTTCTGTCAGCATTTACATATCTTTAAATTACTATGCCCATTTCCCCTTTCTCTTAGGTAAACATGCTAGAAAGGCACACAAATCCATCTGCTTGCTCTAATGTTTCACCAGTGTTAACAACAAATGCGATGGCAATTGCTCACTCCAACTCCTCTGCCACACATTATCATTTTGTCTTTAATGCTGTAATTGTCAGATCCATAATCTTTGTTGTATCACATAACCAATCTAACATTCATGGCAAATCATTTGGGTCCACAATTTGCAGCATCATCCTATGGAATCACCCTCATGAAAAAAAAATACAGAGACTGTCAATACTAACAAACAAACATTCCCAATACATTTCTACATTATAGAATATCACATATGAATAACCTTATGCTTAAAACTGTGTTCAATACCAACCTGTTCCTAAGGAGATACTCACCAATTATATTACCTGTTCCTAAGGAGATACTCACCAATTATATTACTGTGGTACCTTGGTACCAGAGAGGGTATTCAGCAGGTTCTGACCAGTTCTGGAAAACCGGTAGCGGAAATTTTGAGTAGTTCGGAGAACCGGCAAATACCACCTCTGACTGGCCCCGCCCCCATCTCTTCTCTGCCTCCCAAGTCCCAGCTGATCCGCTGGGTCTTCTTTTGTTGCCCTGCACAGGAGAACGGGGCTGGAAAGCAGGTTAGTGGGATGGGGAGGGAATGGGATATTGCAGTATCCTTCCTGCAGGAGTGGGGAGGGAATGGAGATTTTACAGTATTCTTCCCCTGCCACGCCCACCAAGCCACACCCACCAAGCCACACCATGCCCACCAAGCCACACTCACAGAACCGGTAGTAAAAAAAAATTGAATCCCACCACTGCTCGGTACTCATTGTTAATTGGTTCTGGGGGGTGCAATTAGTACCAAAAACAATGAGTACCAAATACATTTTTCCTATAGGGAATTACATATTGAGTCACAAGGCCAACGACACTGACAAATTCTAGTTTGATTACCAAACAAACGTTGAGTGCCAGGACAAAATTTTCGCATCAAAATGTATTGAGTACCAAATTCAATGAGTTTGTAGTTGAGTATCCAGGTACCACTGTAATTCTCATTAATTACAGGGTCTTTGAATAGTCCGACCTTTTCCTTGTTCTTCTCTACCCCTTCTTGTTACTTAATGGACTTTTGTTCTCTAATGCCACTTCTTATTACTTTTGTTCACAATGTTGCACACTTTTCCCTAAACAAACCTCTAGTTCCTTCATTGTGACTATTCGTTATTAAAATGCAACTATTTTCACACCCAGCCATAACAAACTGGATGCACTGCAGTTTTCTAGGATACATTTTAGTCTTTTCATTCATCAAAACTTTGCCTCTCCATACATTCATCAATTCCATTCTATAGGATCAGGTCACTTCATTTGTATATTTTACATCCTTCCTCTTTCTCTTAGTTGCACATTCACACAACAATTTACATTTCAAATCAGAGTCTTGATATGGCACCAATGTCCCCAGATAGGGCCATAACAGGTTAGCTAATTAAGGCTTTTTACATAATACATTTTTAGTAACACAGAGAAGTGTAGATTAATATCCCAGATTAATCTGTATTTGGGACAAATGCTGGATTCCACGCTAACAACAAGCACAGGGCCATTCAGTTTTGGTACAATGTGGCCATAAAACTATAAGATGAATCAAAGCCCAGTTTTACCCCTGCGGTTTTATTCCATTCTACCTTCAAGTTATCTTTCTTTTCATATGAATCTTTTTTACTCTGCTTCTGTTCTGTGCTAGTTAATTACTTGGAATGAGACTATTTTACAAGACAACATACAATCACCTGCACCCCCACTAGAAAGCAGATGTAATGTAGAAATACTTGAGATACAGATATGCATACACACGCGCGCGCGCGCGCACACACACACACACACACACACACACGTCCGCAAAAAGAGTTCGTTTTGTCCAGGGGGGGAAAAATGCCCTTTTGGTCCAGATCCAAGGGAACAAAATGTATTGTGTTACCCGAAATTCTCCAGATCGCACCAACGTTTCTCTCCCTTGCTGCAACGACTGGAGATTCCTCCCCCCCACACACACACCCCGAAATAAAGGTCCAGGTGAGCGGGCATTATAAACAACAACCAAAAAAGTGAACGTTCAAAAGCAAAACATCTTCCCGGTTCGGTCCGAAAAGGAAAAAAGAAAAGACCATATAACAAATAAGAACTCCCGCTTTGGCCAATGGCAGCAGGGCAGGAAGGTATCAAGGGCGTCAGGGAACCAACCAGAAGAAGGCAGGTAGCTTGTGAATGGGGAAGGCCGGAGAGGGAGTAGCCGCACGGCGATACCGCTTCAGCCCTTTCAGTGCGGGGGTCATTAATAAAGACGCAACGGGTTCCGTCGAAGGCGATCGAGGTTGTCGATCAAGGCGGGACCCGGCGAAGATCTTTGGCGAGCCTGGCGGTGGAAGGCGAGAAGGCAGAGAGCCGAGCGAAGGAAGTGGTGGGAGGGGCGCGTTGTCAGGCAGTTCTGCTGCAGCAGCAGCCGAGGAGAAAGTAACTTTGCAAAGGCGAGGCATGGCCGCAGTAAGAAACCCGGGGATGGTCCGTCTCTGCGGCCCGGCGTGCCGGGTTTGAGTCTCTCCCCGATTTGCAAAGCGGGCGATCGCAGGCGGCTCCCCAAAGGAAAAGGGACGGCCGCCGCACAACAGCACGGCTGCCCCCCTCGGAAAAGCGCAGCCTTTTCCCGCGCGTCGGCGGATCCGGTGGGGGAGCGGAGACGCTCCGCTCGAGCGGCGAAAGGGAGCTCCGAGCGCGGGAGGCGCAGCGCCGTCGAGGAGCTTCGCCCCCCCTTTTTTTTGCAACCTTCGCCGGCGAGGGACGTCCGGCTCGGGCTGGGTGTGTGAGTCGTTCCGTCAAGCGAGCGCAGCAGAGGCTTCCGCCTCTCGGGAGTTCGGTCCGACGCCAGCACAAGGCAGGGAAGGGAGCGCCGAGGAGCGCTTCCAGCCGCTCCGGGAGAAGGCACGATGGAGAACGCACACAGCCAGACCGCCGAAGAAGTTCTGCGGCGTTTCGGGGTGCGGGAGAGTTGCGGGCTCAGCGCCGAGGAGGTCCGACGGCAGCGGGAGAAGTATGGCGCCAACGGTAAGGGGGCTCCCAACCCTGCCTATATGCGCCCCAAGCTCGCCGCCCTGCGTGGAACAGCCAAGGGGGGCTGGCGGAGCCAAGTGGGGGAGGGAGGGAGGGTCGCTTCGGACAGTGCCGGCCATGTGGGGGCTTAGTCGGGCGCCGGTTGTGATCGTGGTCGCCCTCAACGGTTGCCGGTTGGGTCGGCACGCGTGGTGCATGGAGCTCAACCGGCTTAGGCGGGAAAAGGAAACGGATCGCCCCCAAATTAAATAAAAAATAAAAAAAAAAGAACAAGAGGCTTGGCGATCCGTGTCGAACAGCCCAGGGTCAGGCAGCATCACTTTTCCCACGGTGGCCGGCCGGCCGGCAACAGAAATCCCACGGGCACGCGAGGGCTGGAGCGGGGGTTGGGGGGGAAGCAGGCAGGAAGCTGCTGCTCTTTGGCATTCGGAGAGAAATTGACCTTTAATGCCGGTTTCTGTTCTCAGTCGCATCGCATCTCCGAGCCGGTTCGCTTGCTAAGTCTGGCCTCGTGAATTTGGGCAGCGGGGTCCCTTTCTAAGTCACCTCGAGACAGTTCAAGGGCCGTTTAAACAGGACTTAGCAGGTCACGGCCATGGTAGCCGGCCGAATGTGTTCTGGAAGCAGACAGAGACGATCGTGGGTCTCCCCTGTGCCTCACGTTTAAAGATACACTGTCTCTTCTCTGTCCACGGAGGTTCCCTTTTCGATAATGGATTGGAGGGATGCTGGGGTTAAGCCACCATTCAGTCTCATGGGCTTAATGTATTGTGTGAATCCAATCCTTAGAGACCACCCTTTGGGACTTTACCCAACTCATTGCGGTTTACTTGGGAAACCATAACAAAGCCAAGTATGGCTTAGTGCAAAATGTGAATTGAGAAGCCTGAGAGGTCAGGTCTCATGAGAGATTTATTTATTTAATTGTTTGTTTGTTTGTTTATAAGATGTACAGAATTAAGAGAAAATGAAAGAGGTGAACAGACCTCCTCTAGCAGAGAGTGAGTCAGGACATTGAATGAGAAGAATATGCAGGTAGCAAATGTGGGTAGCAAGATGGTTTTAACACTTGCCTTGTAAATAAATTGAAGGTTGCTCACTCAATACCCAGAAGAAACTTTGAAATGCCATTGTGGTTTAAGGAGTTGGTCTAGAAGTGGATCCATAGAAACTCCCTGCATAACTTTGGGCCAGGATCTTCTCTTGGCCCATCCTTCCCCACAGGGTTGTTATGGGGAAACATAGATCTTGTGTGGTGCTTAGATAGAAGTACATACCAAATACTAATATTTAAGAATGATGCAGAAAAAAGATAATCCTGACCCTGACCTTTGAGGCAGCATTTCATAAACTAAGATGTTTCCCAGCTACTAAACCCTTTTTAACTGGGGATGAATAGAATCAAACCCTTTGGTCTTCTGTAGACAGAATTGCTCCTTGAGCCTTCAGTTATCCTACCATTGCTACAAGTGCCCATCTCTGGTCTGTTTTTGGAATTGTAGGTTGCTAAGAGAAGTTAGCTTTCTCTTCTTTTTTGCATGACCTAAGTGCAAACCCATCCAGCAGCTGCTTGCAAGATACTGCAGCATGGACTATGATCTCTGCCAACCCTCCCAATATACGTGCTTCAAGATGTTGGGGAACTACACTGCCCAGAGTCCTACATGGGTTATCTGGGGATTATGGGTATTGTAGTTCCAACACATCTGAAAAGCTGGGTAGCTAGCTTCGGTGCTGCAAAAGCTATCCGCTTTTCTTTCCTGAGATCAGTGAAGATGAGTTTGTTTTTGGACGAAGCGAACAAGATTGGTGGAGTGGCCATATTTTTCCTCTTTGGTTAAAAAGTCAAGGGGGAGGCTCATTGACAAGCTGAATGATGTATCTGGAGGATATGTAAGTTCAGTGGATACGAAGAAGCTAACTTTCACCTCAATATGCAAAATGGGTTAATGAACAACAGAGTTGGAAGGGACCTTGGAGGTCTTCTAGTCCAACCCCCTGCTCAGGCAGGAAATCCTATACCATTTCAGACAGATTGTTGTCAATCTCTTCTTAAAAACTTCCAGCGTTGGAGCACCAACAACTTCTGGAAGAAAGTTGTTCCATTGATTTAATTGTTCTAAGTTTCAGGAAATTTCTCCTTAGTTTTAAGTTGCTTTTCTCTTTGATTAGTTTCCATCCATTGCTTCTTGTCCTGACCTCAGGTGCTTTGGAAAATAGGTGACCCCCTCTTCTTTGTGGGAACCAACTGAGATATCGGAACACTGCTATCATGTCACCCTAGTCCTTCTTTTCATCCAACTAGACATACCCAATTCCAGCAACCGTTCTTTATATGTTTTAGCCTCCAGTCCCCTCATCATCTTTGATGCTTTTCTCTGTACTCTGTACTCTAAAGAAATTGAGGGAAGTTTGGTGAGGCTCTTTGCAGTGGGGTAAATCAGATCATCAATCCATTCTGGTCCTATATTATTTACCTTGATGCAACAGCAGTCCAGACAGCAGGCTTTCCAACTCTTTCCATGTCAAGCCTTTTCATTGCTTCTTTTGCAACCTTTTGCAACATTCCCCTCTGAATTTGCACCTCCAAATTATGACAATGCATTACCAGTCCCCCCCACCACACCTATTCCTCTGCCGTTGTGCCTTCATTCTGCCAAAATAAAAAGTCAGTGCAGAAGATTATGAGAGTTGATCACCATCTCTCCCCCATTTAAGCCTATCATCAATCCTGTTCTTCAAAGTGGGCTAAAACTGTATGTCTGACATTTGATTAAAAATGTTGAGTAAACATGTTCGAATGTGGATGCTATAACTTCAATCCCTTTTTTTTCCTGGAGGCGAAGAAGTGATTTCTCTCCCTGCACTTCCTTGCCTTTAACCTCCACACCTCTCTTGGATATTCTCTGAAAGCTGAAATGATTCCCCTCTCCCAACACACACTTCTTGTCACATATGACCCTCTATACAAGGATTGTTAGGATTAGATTTGAGTTCAAGTCCTGTCTTAATTACGAAAGTCAGCTGGGTGATCTTGAGCCAGTAACTCTCCCTCAGCTCAATTTACCTCATAAAGTTGTTTGCTGTGAGGAAAATAGGAGGAGAAAGGTGTGTTGGATACGTTCTCCGCTTTGAGTTATTTGTACAAATAATAAAGGCAGAATACAAATACAAATTTAAAAAATGTCCTTTTTTTCAGGTCTTACGAATTTGGGCAGCACCTAAATTTTATATACTGTATTTTTCGCACTATAAGATGCACCTAGGTTTAGAAAAGAAAAACAGGCAATGACAAAGACAGAAGAGGCCAGGTTCAGTACTGTAAAAGGACCCCGCTGCTGCAGCCTGTATTTTCACTCCATAAGACGCACAGACATTTCCACCCACTTTTTGTGGGTGGGAAAAGTGCATCTTATGGAGCGAACTACGGTATATACCACTATATAAAAAGCTGAAAATTCTGTCTGGTTACCCTCTCTTCTGTGACCCACAAAGTGTCCTAGGGAAGCAGTTTCAAAAATCTTCGAAGGAAATTCTTTAATAGACATGGCACTGACATTTTTCTGTTTTTACAAAACTTTCTTGCATAAAGTTTTCAACAAAAGTTCCCCTTTCCTTCCTATGAAACCTCAACTTCCTTGTTGGTTCCATGCTTCTTTTAATCTAAGAATGCTTCAATGCGTCTTTGGCCCCTGCTGGATTTCATTGGCATATTTCATTGCCACATTTAAGCCATCCTATTTCTCTCTTGGCAAGACTTCTCCCAAGCCAACCATTTTAGGGCAGTATTTTATTTCAGCTACATTCTAACTGGTCAAGAAAACCTCAGTTGCCCTCCCCAGCTATCAGCAAGCATTCAGCTGAAGGAAAGTTGGTTCCTCAGCAACCATCATAATATAATTAGAATATTTATAATGTGTCTAAATTAGGCTTCATTAAACCCATGATGGTCCATGGGAGAAAAAAGAAAAATAGGTGCGTAATATCTACACTTCTCAAAACTCTTTCTGCAAAGTTTGGGAGAATTCAGAAACTTGCATACCTGGTTTCTAGAAATCAGCTGTAGTGGACTTCTTCAGGTGGGGGGGTGCAATGGCTGTTATGATGCCTTAAAAATTAGCTAATTTTTAAATTATGTATGTGTGAACCCTGGAATTTATATAATTTCTGTACAAGTCTGAATCTTAGACCAAGCTGGAAATACCTTTTTGAATTTAAAGTATAATTTTTCATTATGTAAATTCAGAATGCTGGGGATTCAATAACTGTAGAGAAGCAATTTATTTTCCCCTGTCTTGATCTTCAGGGATAAAAGGGGAAAAAAACTTCTAGTAACACTGGAATTTTAATTGAAAAGAAATTCCCCCTCCCTCCCATTTTCTAACTGATGTTTGGGGGTAAAAGTTAAACCACAATGAAGTCTTTTCATTGATAAAAAAAACTACTCTTGTTGGATTTATGTATCAATACTTGGCATAAAAATCATACTTTATCTATTTAATGAAGTTCACATTTAATGTTGCTTTGGTCAATTAACAAAGGTTTTATGGAGGCGCAGAATTGGTCAAGTGGCTCATCATAGTTTTAATTGCTGTTTTTTGAATGCATTCTTGAATATAAATCAGGAATCTTCTGAACACTTTTTCCCCTGTGTCCTTAAATGCCTGAGTACTTTTATAAAGTTAATAAATAAATAAACAACTATTTTTTTCTGATGTATTTTAAAGAGTTATACATGTGTAGAAACCCTATTCTCATTTCCTAGATATTCCTCTTGAGCAGTCTTCAGCAGGGTTTTTCAAGTTATGCTGTGTGAGAGCTTCAGGGGTTCAATTAGAGATTAAGGAGAAAGAGAGAAAAAAAAATCACTCAAATGCAGCCCTATTTCTACTACCAGAGTTTTGCCTCATGATCAGGAGTTTTTGATTTCCCCCCCTTTTAACTAATAGGTTCCAATACCTGGAAAAGTGAAAACCCCTGTGTCAGCTCTAGAA